AAAAAAAAAACACACACACACAAGAGCCAGATATGGAGATTACAGACAGGACATGCAACCTTTTGATGTATTCAATGGGATGCTGGACCCGATTTGCCGCAGGTGCTGCTCCCCAGAGTCCCCGCCAATAGATTGATCATAAATGTTGGTACCATCTGACAGTGCTTACTCAAACATTTCAGGATGTCTGCAGATCTGTTTTAATTAATTAAAAAAAAAAAAAAAACACGGTTCCTTTGTAGTATTTTTTGCACAGCCGAACATATTTGTAGCAAGGCGGTTCAACAATTTGTGAAATGTTGAGAATGCTACACTGCTACAACCAGGGGCAAGGCCCCACTCACCAGGGGCCAGGTCCCACTAGCAAGAAGGATCGGATTCCGTGCCTGAACCTGGATAAATTTTACGTGGAGATTCTGAAAAGCAGATAAATCCCGGTTTTCTACACCTCTCCACAAACACGTCCAGATTCAGCCATTGAATCCAATCCTCGTTGCTAGTGGGACCTTGCCCCTGGACCCTGTGTTTCTCACCGCTGATCCTCGTGATGGGTGGTTCGAAAAAGGAATCCAGACAAGTAGGAGCTTGCCCAACCAGGTCTCCCCCTCTTTTCTTTCTTTCTTTCTTTCTTTTTTTTTTTTTTTTTTTTAAACCAGGTCTCCCCCTCAGTTGCAGCCTTGCAGGCTATCTACAGGAAAAAAAAAAAAAGAACACTCCAACTGCTTCAACATTCAACATGACAAGCCTGTGGCTAATTTATTTGGCCATGGTGGTCCTTTTCCTAAAAGCCAGGGGGGGAGGAGGGGGAGGGATGAAGGACATTGAAAGTTCACCTTTGAGCAGCGAATGAACTTTCGCCATTGTGTATGGATCTTCAGCATATTGATGTGCGCATATCTCTTCTCCCGGTCCTGCATTCAGTTGCAACCGTAGGAAATCAACAATCAACCATGCGAAGATTCAGATAGTGGCGGCATGCCTTTTTGTGAAAAAGCGACTTGTTTATCCATGCATGCATCAGGATTTGAACTCCTGATGTGCTTATCAAAAGCTAACAAAGTGCGTGAGAAAGTGCGCTCAATGGAATCACGAGTTTGAACGCTGAAGTTGAATGAGCTGGAGCCCACAAACAGTTCGGAAGAAGGAGGAGAAGGAAAGAAGAAGAAGAAGAAGAAGAAGAAGAAGAAGAAGAAGGAGGAGGAGGAGATGCCTTAACTAGCCATCCGATAAGA